AAAGAGCACCTAAACCAAGCGTCATATCTTTGCCCAAATATCCTACCAAAAGACTTCTAAAAGGCAACAGTATTGCGTATTCTATGCTCATTTTGCCTTTGCCAATTAGGTGAAGTGCGGCAGGCAAGCTCGAACACACCTCTGCCACACGTTACACTATACAAAATCCATTTTTTTGTGGCTAATTGTGTTCCTTCCTTTTTTTTTTGTTTGCCTCATTGTTGTTCCTCAGGCACTGGCCATGCAGTGTGTTGTCTTCAACGGCTCCGACGGTCTTGACTTTCTTGCAATGGGAAAGTTTTTCAAAGGTCTCGCTGCTTCTGGCGCTTGGGCGTGCTTCGACGAATTCAATCGAATTGATCTGGAGGTGCTATCCGTCGTTGCCCAGCAGATCTTGACCATCCAACGTGCAATCATGGCAAAGCTGGAGCGTTTCGTCTTCGAAGGGACCGACATTCCTCTCGTACTTACTTGCGCAACTTTCATCACCATGAACCCCGGCTACGCAGGCCGTTCTGAGCTTCCGGATAACCTCAAGGCCCTTTTCAGGCCTGTTGCTATGATGGTTCCAAACTATGCAATGATCGGGTGAGTGTATGCCCCTGTCTGTTTTTTTTTAAAAAAAAGGGTTGTAGAGGTGTCGGGGTTTATGACCCAGGGAGGATGTTCGTCGGAGGGCTTTCCACGCCGGGGTCAGCCCTACTGACGGTGCAGCGGGCTCACCCACTTACCCAGTGATCTGTCAAGGAGAGAACTCACAAACCTCGCTACCCACCCGGGAGTATCAGCCCAGACCAGCGCTACCAGGCCGCTGCGCCGGGGGTCACCCAGCACCTCAGGGAGGTGAAGCCCTGAGTGTATGCCCCTGTCTGACCAAGACCAAAAAAAAAAACGTCTCTCGCTGTCAAATCGTGCCAGCAATTATTCACGGAACAAAAGGAGAAAAAAAGGAACAAAGTAGAACCCCCCCTCACCAGAATTTAAGGGGGAAAGAACAAAGTAACAAACAAAAGAGGCCTTGTGGTTCTGAATCCAGTCTTTGTATTTCCTTTTGTTTTCATTTTAAAAACCACCAGTACTTCCAGAACTTCGCCTCGGCTTGCATGCTGCCGGCCATTGCTACAGACTACGGTCCCATGGCGTTCACACATGTATGAATTTCTGCCAGCACCCCTGGCCTGTTCGTCCCAGCAGGACACGACACACATTCTGCCGCGACTTTCGAAAGTACGGTTGGTTTAAACCACCAGTACTTGGCCCAGCCATTGGCCGTGGGCCTTTGACGTTAACACGCTGCGTTTTCAGGGTTTCGGGCTACTGGACCACAGCGGCTGGAGGCGCCAGCCATAAGAAAACAAAACGTTGCGCTGGCGGTTCGTGAGAACTTGGCGCGCAGAAATGCTTTGAGGCTCGGCATCTATAGCTGGGCCAAGTACTGGTGGTTAATACTGCAAGTACACGGCCCCAGCCTGGCAGAAAGTTTTTTTGTCACCACAAACAAAACTTGGAGGGGCCGCGCGGCGTGGGGCACCGTTGAAAAAAAAAATCGGCGGCCTCTGAAGTGGTGCGGGTTTCGTGCTGACACCGACGGGCCGATGTGTGGTGCACTGGTGCTTTACCACTTGCTTTATTATGGCTATCGTGTCTGTCCCTTCTGGTGGGCAGCAGTCTGGTTCCTTTCCACCTCCAAGTCTTTAATGCCTCATAAGTTCATAACCCACACCCCTCCCAGTCTAACCAGGCTCGAGATTCGACTTGCATGTATCAAGATATGCTGGCCGTTGATCTTCGTTATGGACAGCCAGCTTTTCTTAATCCGTGCAAATGGGACCTTGCCCCGGAAGGTCCACAAGCAGAGTGCAAAAAGTGACATTAGTAAAGAAAACACAAGCAGAGTGCACTGCCTGACCCCCCCTCCTGGGGGCATAAATGATCTGCAACGTAATACGACTCTTCGCTTTGCTGATTACAAAGGCAAAACTGCTAAATCAGTTGCTCTGCAGTCAGAGATCACTCACAGATGCCTGGCGACAAGAGAATGATGGCTCATAAACCACCCCCACTTGAAACAGAAAGGGGCTTCTCCTGCCATGGTGCAAAAGTCGTATCTAGGCCTTCCGCAGAGAAAGATTAGAGAGACCCAAGAACACCTCTTCCTTTCCTGCCCAAAGGCTGTGCTGCTATGGAGGCGGCAGTGGTGGGACAGAATCTGGCGATGGCTCACGGTCGAGACTCGCTGGCCATGGGACTGGAAGTCTATCCTCCTGGCACATCACCAGCCACCAAAAAGGGACAGGCTTTACAGATATTCGGTGCTGGATGGAGAGAAAGGCAGTCCTGTGGCGAATTTGGATGTCCAGATGCACTCACAAATGGAAAGAAGTCCAACCGGACCATGAGACAAGCGGAGAATATCATAACGTACGTCCAAATAACTATCCTAAGAGAATGGCCACTGATGCTGAAGAGCATTAAGCATCTGAATAACACACATGGGAAGTGAGAGAAAGTCAAAGAATTCTCCGACAAATGGGTGAACAACCCAGTGTCCGGGGAGATTCAACGGGTGGAGGGGGAGGTGGCAACACCTCAGTGTGTTCATCTGCAATTTGTTGATTGGAGTAACTTTGATTTGATGTTTCATCCCCACTGCAGCCAGCCATGTCATTCTTGGATCCATTCCCCCACCACCCGGCAACAGCATAGTCGAACTCTCGTGGGGTCGGGGGAGGGTGAATAGCCTCAATAGGAGGAGCAAATCATACGAGCGAGGGAGCTAGCTAGGAGTTCAGTGTTAAAGCTGGCAGCTACAGCTAAGCTGAAGAGACTGATGCCGCTCCATGTCGTCTGTGGCTGATCCTATTAGCTGAAAGATCAGCCCTGTTTAACACCTCAAAATGTCTGAACCTTCTTTTTTATTTTTTTCCTTCATGTAATATTGGGATGCCTGAACCGTTTTCCAGCAGGTGCTGCTCCCCACCAATAGTTTGGACTCTGGAGCCATGCCTAATGCGACCCTCAATCCAGGTGGTTCTCTCACCACCTCCTGGATAGAGGAGATGCAGCATGATGTTTGTTCTTCTTTCATAGAACACACACCCACACACACACACACACACACACAAAAAAAAAAAAAAAAAGAAAAAAGAAAAGGGGGGTAACTTCAGTAGAGTCACAAAAAGGAGTTATAATTGCACTCCGGGGCAAGACACAGTTTGCAATTCCACTTTGGGAACCCTACCTGGCCAGAAAGATGGGTTGTATACATTGGCCGAACTGCAATTGCAAACTGTATCTTGGCCCATACTGCAATTATAACTCATTTTCGTGACTCCCGCGTAGTCTCCCCAAAAAAGAAACATTGGGCCGCTCAGTTCAATGATGCCGTCCTTATACATACGCCGATTCGACACATTTTCCATTTTTGTCACTCTGCCATGTGTGGGCCAACTAAAAAAATACTCCAAATTCAGTAAGTTTTCGCGCTCAAAAGAATGCGTGAAAAAACCTGAAAATTGGAGTACTCACAGATTTTGTTGTGATATTTCCAAGAAAATCATATATCAGCCTCCTGACGAGTCAGTGAAACTCCGACGAAACAGTTTGTCACAGCCCCCCCTCGTTTGTTGTCCTCTTCTCCCTCTCTGCCTATGGTTTACCGGGCAGCTCTGTTTGTCTGTATGTATATATATAAAAAAAGGAATATCGGGGGTATTACAGGGGCAGGTTCAAAGGGCTTTCAACTATGGCATGTGCTTGCAGGTTTTGTCTTGCGAGGATAGCAAAATGGAAGACGTGATTGCAAAGTCACAAGCAGAAGATGCAATATAGGATATGAAAATGGAAATATGGAAAAGACGGAACACGATTGTGGCGAAGCCGAATGATGATTTGCATTGTTTTTCTCTCATGGTCCCTCTCCCTGGTTCTTGTGTGTCATTCAAGGGAGATCATTCTCTACTCCTTCGGCTATCAAAAGGCACGGGACATGTCGAGGAAACTTGTTGCCACGTACCGGCTTTGTAGTGAGCAGCTCTCCTCACAGGTTAGCTCCTCTGCCTTACATGAATTTCTCCATGAAGATCTCATGCACCCCCCTCTCATTGATCAGACCCCCTATTTCCAGTGGCTCTTGGACCTTCCCATTTTTTATTTTTTTTTTTCTTATTTTTTTTTTGACCTTCCCATCTTCCCATCTTTCTAATATGGTCATGTGGGCAGAAGTGAGCTCATTATACTATCCACCCAAATGAGCGCAGATAACAAAGAGGTAAATCCTGGTGTTTACAAAACAGCGAGGGGAGACTCCAAGCTGTGAGAGCGGCCGAGTGTGTGGGAGAAGGGAGGAGGATCAGGGAAAAGGGGAGGGTGGAGTTGCTTGGAGATGGCACATTTTCTGCTCGAAGGGGACTGAGCGTGGGAGGTAACTCCAGCTCCCGGACAATTCAAGCACATACGGGAGGTCTGGATGGTAGATGGTCCTTATCATACTTGCAACCGCACGAGCTGCACGGCCGTACGGTGTGGTGCGCCGCATGATGCGGGGAACCTGCCCGTGCGCCGCACCAGAAATAGTCTATGTTTTTTTTTTGCTGTTTTCGTAGATACAGAAGAGGGTACTACCTAAGGAACAGATCCTGTTCAAGTACAGTCGTACAAATCTTTCTTTTTGTCTCATTGGGCATCATAAATAGCCTCAAATAGGTCCTTGGGGCATCCGTCTTGACTGTAAAGTGGTGAAATTGATCTTCCAACTTCTTTTTTTTTCCCTTTCTTTCATCCTGCAACAAATATTCGAAGGGGGCACGGGCTGAATGCTTGTCCACACCTGCCACCCCTTTTTTTCCTGGGTGGATATTTTCCCCGTGCGCCGCACCGGAACCGTGCAGCTTGTGCGCCGCACGTGCGGAATTGGCCGCACGGCGTGCGCTTTCATGTATGGTCCTTATCAGTAGTGAAGGAAATCCCGCTCCGATGCTTAGAAACCTATCTTTCGGATCCAGGCCTGGTTGCAGCTTGACCGCTGGGCTCAATATCCAGGCCTGGTTATGTGATGGATTTCAGTCGCCATATGGTCCTTTTGAACTTTGCAGCTTATCTGAGGGAGGAGGGGTAAAAAGGAAACATGCATGTTCCTACAACGAGCGAGCGGTATATCTCTCAGTTGAGTGTGGACCTTCTCAAGGTCTCTGGAGGTTTCTGGTTTCAAGTTAATCTGACGGTCGGCGGCCTCACAACCTGGCTAAGGGTGGACTCACACTATCCATTTCTCAAATGTATCTGACCGCATTCACTGTCATACCTGGATGTATCTGGCCGAAATTCCGTCCAAAAATACGTAAAGAAGTCGTAGTGTGGGTATGCCCTAAGAGCAGCCGAATGGGGTTTCGGCGGAAAGCGTGATGAGTGTGGTTATGATAATGGCGGTAACACAAGGCTTCTGAGAGCAGTACGAAAGAGTGCAGGCATCCAAAAGAAATAATTACAAAGAGCATATTAACAGCAAGGGGACTATGACACACTTAATAAATACCAAACAAAATGCCAGCATCAATTTGTCTCTTCTGAAATTGAGGGTCTCAAAGATAAGGAGCATGATTGCCAAGTTCCACTCCTCAGTACGCTCACGTACTTGGGGAGATACCACACCAATGAAATGTGGAGAGGGGGAAAAAATGCCTAAACAAAAAAACTTCAGAATCTGAACGTAGATCACCAGCCCAAGAGACCACCTTTCCATCCGCCTTACCCACAACCCTTCATTCATCGTTTACAACCTTGCACGGAGGGAAGGAGGGAAGAAGGGAAGGAGGAAAGGAGGGAAGGAGGGAAGGAGAGAAGGAGGGAAGGAGGAAAGGAGGGAAGGAGGGAAGGAGAGAAGGAGAGGAGGAGGGACAGAGGGATCTATGAAGAGAGAGAAGAGCAAGAAGGAAGAATGAAGGACAGGAACAGATGGAAAGCATGGAAACAAAGAAGAAAGGGAAAGAAGAGAGAGAGAGGAGAAGCGTAAAGGGAGCCACGAAAAGGAGGTAGGGAGAGAGGGGTGAAGGAGGGACTGAGGGAGGTAGGTAGGGAGGGGAAAAAGTTGAAATGGAGGAAGGTAGGCAGGTAGGGAGGGAGGAGGCACACACACACACAC